AACAGTTCACCCTGTGAAAGGGCAAACAATAAAATCAACACAGCATTTGTAAAAGTAATGTATGCTGAAGGAAAATATTTGCACATTGATTATCGAGAGGGTTTGAGACACACTATCCCCCCAAATGGCACCTTGGCATATAGAATATTTGAAGCTGGAGGAATCTGAGAAATGGCTGGTTCGAGGAAGGATGTGAGAGGTGGCTTCGCTGTACCCAGAGGAAAGCGGCATCTTTATCTCTGAAGGCGAAGGGGAAAGGAAAGAAATCGGAATGAACGGGCCTTGCTCAGTTTCCCCTTCTCTCATACTTCTACTCAGCTTTCCATGTTGCCATCAAACCCAGCATGAAAACACTCAGCGTAACCACCTCTTTAAGTCTTCATTTCCTGGTGAAGACTCTCGTTCCATGTGAAACTTAAATGTGTATGCTTTTCTTTTATTAATCTGTCTTTTGCTCCAGGGGCCCCAGCCAAGAATTTAAAAGGGTATGTTAAAAAAAAGAAATTCAGAGCACCCGGGTGGCTCAGTGGGTTAAGCGTTTGACTTCGGCTCAGGTCGTGATGCCTCGGTTCACGGGTTCGAGCCCCGCGTCAGGCTCTGTGCCGACAACTCCAAGCCTGGAGCCTGCTTCAGATTCTTTGTGTGTGTCTCTCTCTGCCCCTCCCCTGCTTGTGCTCTCTCTCTCTCTCTCAAAAATAAATAAAAACATTTAAAAAAAATTAAAAATTTCAATTGAGTACTTTTTTAAGATCTTACTGGCTTTCTTCAAAGATTCAATCGAGCAGCATGTAATCTAGAAGATAGAAAGGAGCTCCCCAGAACGGTATGAAACACAAGACTGTTCTAGGCAGAAGGGAGCAGATACAAGGAAGTTCTACCAGGCAGAAAAGCAAGTTGCTGATTGCAAGCTCACTTTCCTTTAGGGGTTTGCCAAGGGTCTATCAGGCAGATTACCTAACTAGTACTGATCAAGTAATTCCTGACCGGTTTAAGGTCTGATTTCTGGAAGAGCTGAAACTCTATGGCTTAAGTCTCAGTTTGCTGACATGGACTTAGCATAAGCAACTCCCTTTCGGGCCTATTTTTTTAAAAACATTTATTTGTAATTGAGAGACACAGAGAGACAGACCATGAGTGGGGGAGGGGCAGACAGAGAGAGACACACAGAACCTGAAGCAGGTTCCAGGCCCTGAGCTGTCAGTACAGAGCCTGACACAGGACTTGAACTCACAAACTGCGAGATCATGACCTGAGCCGAAGTTGGACGCTTAACCGGCTGAGCCACCCAGGCACCCCCAGGCCTGTTGTTTTTAACAAGTAAAAGGAAAAGTTATTTTTCCTCCCTTACATAAAGATTTGCTTTAAGTAAATATGCATATCGTTGGCACATATTTAAAGACTCTTCCTCCCCAAGTCCATGTTGTTCTGAATTTTCTAATTCATCCCATCGTGGTTGTGATAATTACTTTCCTTCACATTTTCCCACACATCGCTGAATATCTCAATGGCTGCAAAATGCCAAGAGAAACAGAAATGGAGATCATTAGAAATTATAGTGTTACAATAAAATAGTAACAAACGGGTAAATAAAAACAAGATTCAATTTCCTTTCCAAAAGTAATGAGATCTTTTCTCCTCCTCCCTTTTCTTAGAACATTTCAGAGAGAAAATTTGTATTTGTAAAGAATTCCTGCAGCGCCTGGCTGACTCCGTTGGATGAGCATGTGATTCTTGACCTCAGGGTTGTGGGTTCGAGCCCCACGTTGGGTACAGAGACTGTTTTTAAAAATAAGACTTTAAAAAAAATAATAAAGATATAAAGAATTTCTCTGTCCTTTTGATACACATGCAAATCTTATTAAAGGTTAAATAAGCCTCTTTTCAGAATTAAAAACCAGGAATATTTTTCGGCAGGGCCTGGGAGCCATCTCTTTTCAATGTCAACATCAAGGAAGACAGGGCCCCATCGTCGCTGCGGGAATCTGGCGGAGGCGTGTCAACTACCTGCTCATCATGGAGGTACAAGAATTTTCAATTTCCTTTCAGGTAGAGGCCATTAACTAGCACGTTGGCCACCCCAATGACCAAGTGAATGCAGAGTGACCTTTGAAAGCACGTAGAGTGAGTAGGACTGTTGAATCTTCTCACCTGATGAGTACTTATTCCCGAGAACATGCACATAAGGTTGTATCTCCTCGGCTACAGGAACGTGGGGGGTGGGGGAGGGTAGAGCACGTGACTCTTGAATTGTGAGGTCAAGCCCCACATTGTGTATTTTTTTACCTAAACATAAAATCTTTTTTTTTTTTTTTTTTTAAAGACAGTGAATTTCTTTTCTGTCTTAATAGTTTTAGTTTTTAAATAGCAGATCATCCGGGACACAGGCCGGTCTGAGTTACTGCTCACTCAGTAATAGAACTATTCCTTTTCGACATATGTAGGGAGGGTGTTCTGGGTTGGCAGATTTTATTTTTAGAAATAAAAATACAACAGTACAAGACTCTGCCTTCCATGTTACTGTAGGGGATCATTTTACCAAATATTTTCTCAGGACACAAAATGGATCCAGCTCTGTGTTTTCCTTACCGCCCACTACGCAGCCACTATTTCAGGTGTTCACCCCATTTCCAGGAGCCAATCTCATGTTCGTTAGGGTAGGACAGGCTATGATGTAGTAATAAGTAAACCTATATATCTTCCAAGTTTCTTCCTTGCTCAGAGCATGGTTTAATGTAGATCCGAGGAGTTAGAGGGATCCCAGCTCCATGCGATCGAGGGGCTGCTTTAACAAAATACCGCAGAACGGGAAGCCCACAAACAACAAATGTTTCTTTCCCACAGTTCTGGGGGTTGGGAAATTCAACATCCTGATGCCGGCAGATTTGGTGTGGTGGCTGGTCAGAGCCCACTTCCTGGTTCCTAGATGGCTGTGTCCTCACGTGGTGGGAGGGACGAGAGAGCTCTCGGACTCTGGTCTATGGGCACTAATCCCATTCATGAGGACTCCACCCTCATGACCCAATCACCTCCCCAGTGTCCCACCTCCTAATACCATCGTATGGTGGATTAGAATGGGTGGAGGGTGGGGTTCAGTCCACAGCCGGACTTAGGAACGCAGGTTCCCTCAGGCTGTGGTGCCGCCGTCTCCAACACGGGGACTGGCCTCGGACACTGGAGGCACAAGCCAAATCACCAGATCTCCAACCCAGAAACTTGTCACCTGAGACTCTTAGAGTCAGTGACCTTCAACAGGTCATAGAGGAGAAACCAGCCAGATTTCAGCATCCTGCTGGGACCTTGAGCACAGAGTCACGCGGGCTCTAGTGAATTCCAGAACAGACCTTGAAAGCCCAGGAAGCGCCCTAATTGGGTTGGGGACCCAGCGGCCTGGCCCAGGAGCCTGGAGAGACTTGTGCGGTGAGCGCTCACCTAAGCAAGGAACCTGGCATCAGAAAACCTTGAGTTCAAGTCTTGGCTCACATCTGACTGGTCATGTCCCTGGGCTTCTGTAGAAACGGATATTCTCCGCGCTGTATGAGGACTTAAGGAAGCCGATGCTCGGGAGGATGCTTTGAACTACAGGGCACCGTACGACTTAATAGGACCCATCTTGCTTATGCAAAGCATTTCCACTTGCTTCTCTTCAAAGAGCAGAAAGAAGTAGCTCATGGCAACTCCTTCCAGCACAATTAGGTGGGAATCTAGCCAGACAAAACCTTCTTCCCTCAGGGTCTCCTCGGAGGCTTCCCCCATCAAAGTTCTAAGCCAGCCAGCCCCAAAGTCTGGGAGGTTTTATAGCTCACAGGTTCACTGCATGATGACGGTCGGGCCCTAAAGATGTTTCTGGGAAGCCTTTCTTGGCCAACACCGGGCAAAGTCCGGACCCTATCCCCACCTCTGCCCCCGTCTCCAAAAGTTAGGATCTCCCTCGGCTCTGTCTTCACCCCTCCTGTCCCCAACTCTGACTTTGGGATTTCTTGGCATCATTATTTTGCCCCCAGCTTGCTGACTGAGCCTTCTACTGTTAAGCCACGTGTCCCAAACCAAGTCCCTCTGTCTCAGTCCCCCCAGCACTGCTTCCCAGAGCTGAACCAGAGTGGGAGGCGATCTCCTAGGAGGAGCACCTTGACTTCAGGACAGCTGACCTTAAGAAATCTCTTCTGGGGGCGCCTGGTGGCTTAGTCGGTTAAGCGTCCGACTTTCGCTTAGGTCATGATCTCGCGGTTCGTGGGTTCGGGCCCCGCGTCGGGCTCTGTGCTGACTGCCAGCTCAGAGCCTGGAGCCTGTTTCAGAGTCTGTGGCTCCCTCTCTCTCTGACCCTCCCCTGCTCACGCTGTCTCTCTCTCTCTCTCTCCTAGAAATAAATAAAACATTAAAAAAAAAAAGAAGAAGAAAGAAAGAAATCTCTTCTTATGGAAGTGGGGGAACACCAGCTGGGGAATTGGGAGTTCGGAGCTCCCCTACTCTGCCACCAGCCCGCCTGGGAGCATTAACTGGGACTTCCCTTCTCTGGGTTTGCATCTGCAAAAGGCAGGGTTTGGACACAGTGATCTCTGCTGCAACTCCGAGATGGGAAACTGAGGCTGGGAGGAGACACAGCAGGGGAATCCCCCCCCCCCCGAGGTAGGCCTGGGGTCCTCCTCTCTCTGTAGCTTTTATAAAGCAAAGACTCCTCACCTATGCCTCCAACTCTCTCCTTCTGCCAGGACAGTTGCCAGGTGACAGTCTGTTCCCAGGACCATCTGAGGCCGGCGAGACCAGAAGAGCAACACTCCAAGTCTTAGTGGAAGGTGGCTGTGCCCTTGACCTTTGGCCTGAGACCTCCTGCAACCCCCAAGTGGGGCCTTGGACACTCAGCTCCCAGATCTCTTGAATTTCAGTCTCCTTCTCCGCGTCCACATGTCCCCACGGTGGAGTGTCTTGGTTCCCCTCCCCCGCCCCTGTGCCCCAAAGCCCTCTAGGGGCTGAATTCAAGTATTGGTTCAATAATTTACTGGAGGTTGACACTCAAGCACACACGTTTTATTTTTCATATAAGGCGCCCATGAATAGTTTACAGCTTAATAGCCTCGAAGCCTTCCAGCAGGACTTTTGTGTCCCATGGAAGGACGCTGAGCCCTCTGGGTTCCCGCGGGGGGCCGCACCCAGGTCTCCTGCAGACCTGGGGTCCAGAAAGAGGGCGTGTCCGTGTTCAGGATGGAATGTGTTCTTCCCTTTGCTGTCCCTTGCAGGACTTTCATAGACTCCCGAGGGCTGTCCGGTGTAGCTCAGAATGCAATTACTGGCGTTTTTCTTTGGCATCTAACCCATTGCTGGGACAGCATTCCAGAAAGAACTTGGGCTCTCTGCTCTCTCTGAGCTTGCTCAACAAAGGGCACACCCATGAGGGAAGATCTACAGGGCCCCCCATTCAAAGTGCATATGTGGACTCCCTGGGGCTGCAGAGGGTCAAGGAGGGTCAAGGGTCAAGGAGGCCACCATCATCCTCCTGGGGCAGCTCTGGGAAAAGTCATCAGAGCAGTGCCTCCGCTCGGGGGTTTCGGCCGCTGTCCACCACACCGGGACTCTTTGGTTTTGCCCAGTGGCCCCAACTTCTCTCTCTCCCCCAGCCACTCATGAGTGCTCCCTGAGCCTGAGCACCAACGCCGCCTGGCCCTTGGGCTTCTCTCCATCTGTGAAAGGGCAGATCCTCTCCACCCAAGGGAGACTTCCAGAACGGTGCCTGCTCAGCTTTCCTACAATTTGGGGTCATCAGGGGAATAAGCCGGGATGGGGAGGCCAGTGGAGCCCCCCTCTGGGAGGGAAACCCCGGGGTCAAGTTGGTCTGGGAACCGAGGCAGAGTAGCAATGGTCTGCAGCCAGAGGCAGGCGCCATCCTCTAGTCACTGCCTCCAGGCGGCCTCCCCAGGGTCCTGGAGCCACCTGGCTCATCCGGCTCAGCCAGCCGCCCAGACGCCGGGCATTCAGGCGGGCGGTGTGGCACACCGGGCTCTCCACACCGCCCCCAAGCCCTCCCCTCCGGCACCTCCTTCCCTCCCGCCTGGCACCTCTACCTCCCTTGGGTCTCCCGGGTCCTGTTACTGTTACTCTTCCTGCAGCAGGGGCTCTCGGTCCCCTTCCTGCACCCTCTCGTCTTCCTCCTTCTCCATGCAGCCCACGGTGGCAGCCAGCCCGGCGCCCACGCCACCGCCGACCACCGCAGCCCCCGTGGCCCCAACCGCCGCGCCGGCCGCCACCATGCCAGCCTCTGCAGCCAGCGCAGCTGCGGCCATGCCCGCGCCCACCACGCCGCCCGCCAGGCCCATGAGCCCAGCGCCCACGGCGCCCCCGACGGCCGCCAGGTGGCCGCAGAAGCGCATGGTGTAGGAGTCCATGAAGACCTTGGCCTCGGCCTGCAGCTCGGCCTCCAGCGCCTCCAGGGTCTGCTCTCTGCCCTTGCACAGCAGGGCCGCCCCGTGGCGGGCCAGGATGGCATCTTTCTGGGTGGCGAGGAGGGTCCGCATGGTGTCGGGCAGTACCCGGAGCGCAGTGAATATGCGCTTGGTGGCCACGTCCTGCGGCAGGGAGAAGGGAAGGCGAGCTGACCATCCGCCCGAGCCCTGTTCTGGGGTTGGGAGTGGGGGGTGCGGGGGGAGGCCCGCTGCCAGAGGCCCTGCCTCCCGTTCGAGGCTGGCTTACCTGCTGCCGCACGTACTCCTCAAACTCCTTCTTGGCAGCTTCCACCGTCCTCAGGTCGTGTAGCTGGGCGGCCATCTGTCCACGGCAAAGCCAGGCTGCCTCCCTCCTCGGCTGCCCGCACCCTCATCTCCACCCCAGGGCCCAGGGACCCCCCAGCCCGGCCCCCCAGAGGCTCCCCAGCGTGAGGGGGTGTTTGGAGGGCTCCCTACCTCGTCCGGGGAGGCGAACCCGGGCCCCGTCCTCCCCATCCAGCCTGAGAGGTTCTGCGGAGACATCACGGGAGGGCTCAGGGCGGGCCCGGGGCCCGGCCGGGCTGTCCGGGGGCCAGGGGCTGGGGGGCTGGCGCACCTTGATTTCCTGAGCTAACTGCTGCCCCGTGAGCAGGCGTCGGTCCCCCCTGGCCACGGGCCGGCCCTCGCTCCAGTACCCCTGGCAGCGGCTCTTGGCGTGCTGGGGGGCTGCACTCAGCACGTCGGCGACGTAGGCACAGAGGTGGCGGATATCGTCATCTGTGTCTGAGGAAGAGATTCCTGATGCTGAGGAGACCGGGGGCTGAGCAGGACCGGGCTTTGGGAGGAGAAAGGGTGTCAGAGGCCGGGAGAGGCTCGCGAGGGCAAGGGGGTCGCCCAGAGGAGGCCAGGCCGGGGAGGCCTTGCTCCCAGGGACACTCACCACCTGGGCTCCCGGGGACTTTGCTGGCCCATCGCCTCCCGGGAGTGGGCAGGAGGTAGCAGCGGGCTCGCCTCCCTCGGAGCAGCTCCTGAACCCTGGGGTATTTGCCGGAGGACTTCTGAGAGCGCAAAGGGGAGACCTCTGAGCTCCTGCTCTCGGCTCCTGGCAAGCCCCCTCCCGGGCTCCCCTCACCTTCTGCCTGCTCCCCCCTCCCCCACCTCCATCGGTGCCCTCTGCGCCACTCACCTGGATGATGTCACCCACGTGGCCCAGCCCTGCCTTGTTGGGATGTGATGAGTCCCGGACCAGGAGATCCAAGTGCTGGAAGAGAAGGGGTCCTGACACCGGCAGCCGGGGGGCGTTAGAGTCTGGGGTGATGCGTCCGGAAGTGGGTGTCTCACCTGGATCGGCACCATCCCGTAATGCCTGCCCATCACCTCAGCCACGTGTGCAAACATCTGGAGGTGAGGCAGCGGGGGTCATGGCTGGGCCGCTGCAAGGACTGCGGCCCCCTCGCCCCTGGGCACAGCGGGGACCCCACGCCCCCCAGTGCCCAGCTCCCAGCTCCCACACTTCACCCTCTGCCCTGAAGCCCCCGGCCCAGCTCCGGGTTTTGGGTGAACTCCTTGGCCAGAGCCGGAAGGCACCTCTGACTGCTGCCGATCCAGCCCCCTGGCCTTATGGTCGCGGGGCAGGGACAGGGGGCACGCCGAGACCCAGTGTCCCCTCACCTCCAGATATTCCAAGTCTGTATCCCTCAGCTCCGGGGAGGTATTGAGGATCTGGAACCAAGGAGAACAAAATGGAAGAGGGTCTGCAAAGGCAAAGAGATGCTGGGAGACCCCGGTGAGGAGGGAGCTCACAGGCTGACTAAGGCCGAGACCTGGGAGACGCCTGCCTGGGAGCCTCCGCAGCCTGCAGCCCTGGGCTGGCCTTGAGGGGGTGGAAGGTCCTGCTGACCTTCAGCTCTCCCAGGGGCCGTCAGCTTCCCACCCTCACTGACTGGGGGCATCCCTCCCCGGCAAGGGCAACCCCAGAGTCTGTGGCGACCCCGGACACAGAAGTCTATGCGATCAGGGCCACCATCCCTCGCACTCCCTCCCCGGCGGACGCGGCTGGGCGCCAGGTCACAGCGCCCTCACCTGGTAGGAGCTCAGCATCGTGGTGAGGGCGCACAGCTTGGTCCTGGTTTCCCTGCTCAGCTCGGGGCTCATGGCGTCCCCTGTGTCCACCAGGAACACAGCCACCTGTATGGGGGGGGATGGGGAGAGGAGGGAGTGAACCAGGGGGTCAGGCCTGCCTCACTCCTCCACGTGCTCCCCCATGTGCTCCCCTCAGCCCTGCCTCAGCCCACCCTGTCTTGCCATCCCTGCCCCCAAAGCTTTCTTTCTCCATTTCCCCTCCGTTTGTCCCTGCTGTCCCCGACACCCCACCCTCCATGTCCCCCCAACCCCCCCGGGCTCACCTCCTCTGCCCTCTGGCCCCTCACCTTCCTCCCCTCCTTTCCCAGCAGGAAGGGGTGGCTCCACATCCACATGCCCCTGGTGAGGTTACTGGCCCCCCACCTGAGGCCCTGCAGGGCCCCGCCTCCTCTGGGCCAGCCGCCCTCCCCGGCCTCCTGCGGCGCAGAGAAGAGAGCATCAGGTGGGCCCCCCCGCCCCCACGCCCTTCCCAAAGCCGGGCAGGGACCCCTAACCTGCCCTCACCAGGCCCGGCAGGCCCCGGAGCAGGTGGTTGAGGAGGAAGGTCTTCCCTGAGTGCTGCTCCCCCAGGACGGCCAGGAGGCAGACAGGGGTGTCCCTGGCCAGGGGGTGCTTCAGGCAGCGGTTGATGGCCCCCATCCTCAGGATGAGGCCCCCGGAGGCATTGATGCGCACCAGCAGCAGCGGCTCTGCCCTCACGGCGCAGGTCTCCTGGGCCCGGAGAAAGGTTCCCTGAGCACCCAGGCGGTGACAGCGGGACCCCAAGTGCGCAGCCCCGACTCCACTCCCCGCCCTGCCCTGCTGGAATAGAGCCAAAGCCAGTGTCCCCCTTCTGGATCCGGCCTGGGTCCCTCCATGCCCCCCCCACCCCCAACGCCTAGGCCTGGCCCCTGGACCTGCAGCGCGGTGGGCAGAGGCCTCTGCGGCAGGAGCCTCATCTTCTCCCCCAGACTCCGGAGGCCCCTCTTCTGCTTGCATATCTTCCGGCACTCTGGACAGCAAGGCGGCTCGCAGCCCGGGACGCGGTGTGTGCTGAAGCACCGCGGGCAGAAGTCGTGGCCGCAGTCCAGCGAGACGGGCTCCCACAGCCTCTCCAGGCAGATGGAGCAGGCCGGCAGCTCCCGCGGCACTGCGGGCCGGGACCCCAGGCCCAGCTCCAACTTGGGGAACGGCGCATGAGACCTGGGGACGCAGAGCAGGCTGCTGGCAGCAGCGTGGGGGCGCGGGGAGGGCGGGTCAGCAGTTTGGGGAGGCCACTCTCGGCCCGTTTCTCACTGGCTTGCGCCCCAGAGCCTGGGACCCCGGAGTGGAGGCAGCAGCACCGTGGGGGCAGAGCACCAGACAGGGAGAAGCCTGGATGGAGTCCCGGCCCGGCCCAGGTAGCGGTGGGCAAGCTCCTGCACTGATCGGGGCCCCGGTTTCCTGACTGTACAACAGAGGAGGTGAGCAGCCCCTGCCTCAGGGGGCCACCGGGGCGATCACACGAGCCGGGGCGTGTGCACGGCCCTGCCGGGTGCCCGGCACGAATACGCACTGAAAACCGTCTCCCATGGCCTCGGGCTGCAAGGGCCTCCTCAAGGAGCTACACCCAGGAGCGATACCTGCATTCGCTACGGGACCGTAGGGAGTGGATGAGAGCCTCCCAGTGGTGGGGCAGGTGGCTCGGATTCGTAGAAGATTCCTTCCGCTCTCCCACTCTGAGCTGGATTTGGTCTCCAGGCAGCGCCCACCGGGTTTTCCCGTGCCTCAGGCCCTCCCCTGGCACGGCCCTCGGGAGGGAGGCCAGGCGGCCCCAGGCCGCGGGTTCCCGGAGCCTTCCTGCCTGGCAGGCCTTGCCACTCACCAACTGTTGCGGCTGTTTCCCATGAAGCTCCGTTTTCTCTCCTTGGAGACAAAATTGGGGGTTGGGGGGGAGGACAAAATGTAATCTAGAAGAGAATCCAGATTTCTGTCTTCCTCCTGGGGTTCAGCGGCCCCCATCCCCCCTCCGCAGACCCACCCCTCCCAGCCCCCACCCCACACCCCAGATCTCAGGACCCAACGCTCGCCTGTTTGCCAAGCCGGTGACAGAAGGAAATGATTGACAAGGCGGACCTCGGCATGGGGGGGGCTGGGAGCGGGGAGAGGTCTGGAAGCAGAGACCGGAGGCCCCCGAGACGCGAGATTCCGGCGGCTGCAGCAAGGATGCCTTTCGTCCTCGGGGCTGGCCCGGCTGTGGCAGGTGGACGGTGGGGTGGGGGATGGGCGCCCCAGAGGAGCCGGCAGCCACTCGTCAGAGCTGGAAAATAGATGTGACAGTCGGGAAAGAGGAGGCTGCCTCTGGACTCACCCCAGGGGGAGGAGACAGGACTGCGGGAACCAGGGCTCCGGAGGAGGGAGGGACGAGCCGGCTCCGAATCCCTGGCAGGCGCTGGGATGCAGGCAGGCCGGGGTGGTGAGTCGCCATGGAGACGGAAGGGAAAGATAAGGACAGGGAGGGGGAGGAGGGATGGAGAGAGAGAAGCCATATGGGCGCGTGGCAGAGACGGGAACCGTGGGCGCGTGGCAGGCACCGCCCCTATGGCCCAGCCAGGGTTCTTCCCAGGCCGAGGGGCAGGGTGTGCCAAAGGGGGGGGGGTTGTGGGAAACGGGGTAGAGCACCCCCGGAGAGTGACAGAGAGCCTCCCTTCGGTCCCTGCAGGGACATTTTCCTGAGCAGCCGGCTCTGCGTGGGGCCCTAGGACGCCAGCATCTTGCATGTGGTCCTGCGCATTCCCTGCTGCCCCGGGGACACCTCACTGGTGCCGGAGGTGAAAAGCTGCTGCTTTCCTCGCCCCCCCCACCCCCCGCCCTGGACTTCCCTGACACGGGCGGTGTGTCCCTTGGCGTCTTCCCCTTCCACTAAGTTTTCATCCCGCTTCAAACTTGTGACTCTCCCCTCTGGACCTTCGAATGGCCTCTTCACTGGGCCCCTGGCATCCACTCCCCGGTGCACAGCCAGCTGAATCCCCCTGAGCCCAGCTGCATCCTGTGCTGCTCCAACACCAACCATGGCTTCCGACAACCATCAGACCAAAGCCCAAACCACCTGGCCTGCGTCTCCGGGCCTGGAACTTCCTCTCCAGCCTTCGCCCTCTCCCACCCTTCTCTGCTCCTTTGCACCTCGCCTGCAGCGGGGCTCCCCCTCACGCCTCCTGAGAGACCCTTGCAGGTGCAGCTCAGAGGCCACTCCCTCCTGGAGCCTCCCTGCCTCCCCCTTCCCGGCTGGACACGATCTTGCCCTCAGGTAGCTCATGGTCAGACGCCTGATTGTGACAGTTTCCGAGGGGTCCCGGCCCTGCAGCCACATTTCCCACCTGACCCGTATGAGCCTGAGGCGCTTTCTACACCTGCCTTGTCCGGACAAGACCTGGGTAAGCTGCTATCCTCTCTGAGCCTGAAGCACTCCAGGTAGATTTCACTTTTTTTTTAAATTTTATTTTTATGTCTTTATTTTGAGAGACAGAGACAGAGAGTGAGCGGGGGAGGGGCAGAGAGAGAGGGAGACAGAATCCGAAGCAGGCTCCAGGCTCTGAGCTATCAGCACAGAGCCCGACACGGGGCTTGAACCCACGGACTGTGAGATCATGACCCGAGCTGAAGTCAGGCACTTAACCGACTGAGCCACCCAGGCGCCCCTAGATTTCACTTTTAAAAACACAAACTCCAAGGGTGCCTCAGTTAGTTAAGCAATCGGCTCTCGCCGATCTGCTCCGGTCATGATCTCGCAGTTCATACATTCGAATCCTGCATCCAGCTCTGAGCCGGCAGCGCAGAGCCCGCTTGGGATCGTCTCTCCCTCTCTCTCTGCCTCTCCCCTGCTCTCTTGCTCTTTCTCTTTCTCAAAATAAATAAATAAACTTTGAAAAAAAAAAACCCGAAAACACAAACTCCAAGCTATACTTAGGAAGAGTTCCCAGATGGGGAGGCCCAGCGTGGATGCCCAGACACAGGTCCCTTCTGGGGTCTGGCCCAGAGTGACCGCACCCATCAGGCACCCAAGAGGCCGACCCTGGTCACTCTGGCTTGCTGTGGAGACACCGGATTACAAAGGGCTGGAGATGGGTGGGGAGGCCGGCTAAAAGGGTAGGACCCCCACCCAGGCCAGGCACCTGAGAGCTATGGTGGGAACCCGCCTGGAGAGGGACAGGCGCGGGACAGACACACCGCGTCCTCGGGCTGAGAGCCTCGTACTCCTGGAGAAAGGCCTGGACCCCGATCCTTTCCTCCTAGAGGCCCCTGCTGCTCTCTGGGGCTCCGAGGGGAACCCATTGCCCAGGGAGGCTGGCTATGGCGGGGTTAGGTATAGATGGCCCTGTTCTTTCCACTGGGCTCTGTAGGCCTCCGTCTCTGAGAAGGATTGAAACCTGACCGGAACGTGAGAATCTGCAAACTCCGAGAAGAGAACCCCAAATTAAATGTAATACCTGCTGAGTTTGGGTCTGCCGCCCTCTGCACGATGTCACCTGGTAAACTCCGCTCCTGTCATCTGTGACGTCAGATGCAAATCATGAGTGTCACTGAGTCAACGTCATGAGTGTCACTGAGTCAACGAAGGTTTACTGAGCACCTGCTGAGTGCTGAGCACTGAGCTGGGTCCTGGGACCTCAGTGGTGACCAGAATGGAGAACATAATGGCCGTTTCGTGTTCACACACAGTAACTAGTAATTTGCTCTTAACAAATTCAACATTGTAAAGATCATACAAATCCTCTTTAAACAAATTCATGGCAATATATTTCAATTGCGTGTGGGCTATGGGCGATCCTTGAGTTGGTGTGTCTGCTCTGATGTGGAGGGAGATTTCCCCAAGGTCAAAGTTCCTGAGACTGGCAGATGAGCCCCTCCCAGGAGGGGGCGCTAGCAGCTTGGCCCCGTGCGCCTGCACAGGGACCACAGAGGTTGGAAAGGCCACCCTGAGCTAGGCCTGGCCCCACAAGGTAGACAGGCCTCTGGGGTGCTCCTGAGAGCTGAGTGATGCTTGCAGAGAGAGCAGAGCCCACAGGAAGGGGCTTTGGCAAGAGACTGCTACTGGGTCTCAGGAGATTGCGCTGTGGGGAGGGAGTGAATTTCAGGCCCTGCGAGTAAATTCCAGCAAATTTCAGACTCGTTCATTATTCCACCCATTTGTCCATTCATTCACCCAACAGGCATCGTGGTTCCTCCCTCCCTGAAGGCCCAGCTCCTACTGGCCCGGTTCCGGCCCTTGGCCTCCTGATCTCTGGCTCCAGCTTCCGGCCTGGGAGGAGGTAAGGAGGTAGAGTCACTTTTGGAGAAACCAGGAGCCAAAAATACTCCTACCCACAGGCGTTGTTGCAAGCACCCTACGTGCATGAACTTACCCTCAATAACACAACCTATGGCAGAGGTACTACATTCTTCCCGTTTCACAGATGAAGAAACAGGCCAGCGAGGTTAGGTCACTTGTCCAAGGTCACACAGCTATTAATGGCAGAGCTGGAATCCAAACCCAGACAGACAGTCGGGTTCTTCCACCCAAGCTCTTAGCCACTACATTCTCTGGTTTCCCTGGTGGCAGAAATCACGTCAATTACAGTAAACCTGGAAAGTAGTATATGGTCTTGCTGTATCTCAGGACGTAGTCACCTACTTCAGAGAAGGAAAGAAAAATTGGTCCAGGCCTGGCCTATGTAGACTGGAATTAGCAATCAGGCAACTGAGTGTTGGATGGTTCTGACCCCAGCTTGCTGTGTGACCTTGGGCAAGTCACTGACCGTCTCTGGGCCTCAGTTTCCTGATGTGTACGTGGAAGGGGGCTCAATGAGACCAGGGTCCCTTCTGTTGGAGTGTGTCTTGCCTCTCTCCTGCCTCCCTGGCCTGGAGCTTCCAGAGGGCAGGGGGCACACTGGCACTCACAGTAGGCGCTGGTGAGCACTAGATCCCTTCCCTCCCAGCCCTGCTGCCGCTGGGAGAGCTCTCCTTCCTCCGTGTTCTCGGGAACCACCCGGATGCTCCCAGCACTGCCAGCGGTGCAGGCCATGTGGGGGATCGGCACACACTCCTCTACTGTCGCTGCGGTGCCTTCGGGTCTCGGGGGCCTGCCTTCTCTGGGAAGATCCAGCCACCTGCATTCCCTGACTTCTGCCCAGCTCCCCCACAGCACGTCCCACGGGGTGACTGACTGGGAGAAGGTGAAGGCAAATAAGCCCACATCTGCAGCTGAGGTGACATCCCTCCACGTGTCTCCAGCCTGAACCCATTTACGCTGTTCTCTACTCCTCCCTGAGCTGCTCCCGGCCCCCTGCTCCCCCCACGCCGCCCCCAGGCTGAGCCTCATCTTCCCTCAGCAGCCCTGCATCCTGGTCTGAGGTCCCCCTCCCTGGATGCAAACAGCTCTCTCTCTGGCTGTGGCCCAGGCAAGAGTCTGTCACTCCTTGTCTTCTCCCTCAGTTTCTTCCTCCTTAACGTCTCTCCAGCAGACTCATGTGTTGCTCCTGCCCTGGGAAGCCTGTGAGGGTCTTTACTGCAGCTGTTCCCGGGAGAGCCCAGAGACCCCGATCATTGAGCAAGGTGTGCTGTGTACTGACTCCACCCAGCGTGTCCCCGAGGCCTGCCAGGTGAGTGAGGAGTCCACTCACCCAGCCATCCATCCACCCATCCCTCCAGCCTCCCGTCATACATGCGCTGATTATCTACCCATTCATTACCCACTTACATATCCACCCACCCAGTCCACCATCCCCTCCTTCATTATCCGCCATTAATTCATCCGTGTATGCCCAACTCATGTCCTCTATTCTTTCATCCATCCATTCCCTGGATACTCATCCATGCAACTTCCCGTGCACGCACACATGTGTGATTCCTCCGTCCACTTACCCACTCACCCATCCACTCATGCACCTACCTGTCCCCCATCCAGCCACCCCCACCCACCTGCCTCCATCCACCCAGCCACCTGCCCCCATCCAGCCAACCCCCATTCCCCTTCCACTGTCCACCCACCCATCCATCTATCCATCCCTCCATCCATCTATCCACCCACACGCTCACCCATCCACTCATGCGCCTACCTGCCCCCATTCCCCTATCCATCCATCCTTTCAGCCATCACTCAACTTTGTGTCTGTCCATCCACTCATCCATTCTCACACTTACCCATCCATACTGCAAACATGTATCAAGCACTATATACCAGGCATCATGCTGGCACTGGGAGTAGACGAGGGAACCTTCGTGGTGCTTCCAGTCTAGTAGAGGGGAGGCAGAAAAATCATTAGACAAGTCCTGGGTGAGAAGTCCTCCGACGCGGGTGAGTGAGGGGTGAGGCCGGAGGACCA